CACAGCACGCACTGCCGTGGGTCAGGCGGTGCTGGCCGAGCTGGCGGCCAAGGCCAAGCTCACCGAGCAGGTCTTCAACGAGGCTCCCGGCATCCGCTGCAACCCGGTGCAGGGCGCCATGTACTCCTTCCCCCGTGTGCAGCTGCCCCCGCGGGCCGTGCAGCGCGCTCAGGTCTGGAGGGCCCGGAGGGGCCTGGCGGGGCCGGGGAGGGGCCGGGACAGGGCCGCGGAGTCCTGGGCGTCGAGCTCTGACTGGCCCCACCGGGTCCCCAGGAGCTGGGCCTGGCCCCGGACATGTTCTTCTGCTTGCGCCTCCTGGAGGAAACTGGCATTTGCGTGGTGCCCGGCAGCGGCTTCGGGCAGCGGGAAGGCACCTACCACTTCCGGTGAGCCAGGGCCTGCACAGCCCCTCCCTGAGTCTCCTGTCCCCTCCACTTACGGTCTGCCTTTTCAGGATGACAATTCTCCCCCCCATGGAGAAGCTGCGGCCACTGCTGGAGAAGCTGAGCCGCTTCCACACCAAGTTTACCCACGAGTACTCCTGAGACCTGCTCCTGCTGCCCAGGGGGCTGGGCCCCTGGCTCTCTGCTGGTCTCTAATAAAGCTGTGTAACAGTGTGACTCCTTGGAGGCAGAGCTCAGGGCTGCAGGGACAAACCCCACCTTTGTCCACCTTGACTGCCTTCATGCAGGCCTGGGGAGTCAGCTCGGAGTGGACACTAGTCCTGCTCCCAGGAGGAGTGGTCAAGGACAGCTCCCAGAGGAGGTGCCTCTCCTGCTTGCCAGCACGCGCCTCTGCGGGCCTGGGTCTCCACGTGCTCTCAGGTCTTGGGGCAGAGACCAACACATTCACACACGTGTTAGGTAACATTGATGAGTAAGGAACATGAAGGAAGGCACGGGGCCATTTGCGCCTTCTGGGGGGAGACCCCAGAGCTGTTGGCGTGGGGGTGGGGACTAACGAATACCCACAGGACCAGGTGTCCCAGGGTGGCCACGACAGAAAAGTAGCCTTTTCTTTTTTTTTTCCCCCTTTTTGTCTTTTTTTGTGACCGGCAACGGGATCGCAACCCTCGACCCACAGGACCAGGTGTCCCAGGGTGGCCACGACAGAAAAGTAGCCTTTTCTTTTTTTTTTTCCCCCTTTTTGTCTTTTTTTGTGACCGGCAACGGGATCGCAACCCTCGGTGTCGCGCCCTCACCGCGCTCAACCAGTGAGTGGACCGGTCTCTATATGGGATCCGAACCCTCGGCGGGAGCACCGCCACACTCCCAAGCGCCGCACTCGGTGCGCCACTGGGCCGGCCCAAAAGTAGCCTTTTCTGAGGAAGACACAGGAAGCTGTGTCCCTGTGCTGGCTCTCCTTCCTGCACTGTGCACCTTTTCCTGCGTGCCACAGAGGACATACTAAACCATAGGATGGAGCTGGTTGGAGAGGGTGACCGTGAGGGGCTCAAGGAGGAAGTCTTAGTGTTCCTCTTAACTGGGACAACAATGGTGGTGCCCCACCTGGGGGTGTTGGAAGAGCAAATGGGTCGGTCCCTGCCCGTGTTTTGTTTGATGCGAAGTCCTAGTGTGCATGCCCATGCCATCTTTGGGTGGGGAAGCGGAGGGGGGTCCCTCGGCCTCCCTTGGCTTGAGCTTGGGCTGGGGCTGCAGGTGGGCAGGCAGGCCTGTGTCCTTGCCCTGGGAACATGGGGGTGAGCCCCTTCTGTGTGCACAGCACGCACTGCCGTGGGTCACTTGCTTAACCTGAACCAACAGTCCTCTGAGGTAGGCACGGTAGTCCCTGATTTATAGACCAGGAAACTGGGCCCCTGGAATATGCTGAAGTGACAGCAAACCTGCTCAAAGTGGCTTCGGCAACTGAGGAAATGCATTGACTCACGTGCCTGCATGTTGGTCCAAAGGCTGGGCTGGGTTCAGGGGCTCGCAGACTCGGAGACCAGATCGGCCAGGGCGCCCAGTCTTGTCCACTCTGGAGGCAATTCTTAGCCACAGGCTACACTTCAATAGCCACGTCAGGGCCTTGGGAGCCCCAGAGGACACGGCTCCGGTGGGAGGAGACTCAACGCCAGTCAGGTGGGGCTTGGCCTAATGGCCAGACCCTCCTGGCCTTGTCACTGGACATTGGAGGGCTTTGTGGGCAGTGGCTGGCTGTGTCCTGGCTGAGCATGGGTCCTGACCTTTCATGGGAACCCCCTGCCTTTCATGCCTTGGGAAGCGGCTGCAGCC